TTGTTAAAAGGGAGTTTTTCCTCTCCACTGTCACTACAAGCATGCTTAGTGTGAGGGATCAACGAGTCAATGCAATCAACTGTTTTCCTTAGATAGAAAACTTTGACTGTATGATCTGGTTGAACTGTAAAGTGCCTTGAGATGACGTGATGTGAATTGGCGCTATAGAAATAAACTGAATTGAACTGAATAGATATTTACTGAACAGTCTCCCACCAAACCTGTAGGGGGAGCTTTACATATAGCCTCTAGAGTAGGGACGAAGAAGAATCCTAGTTCCCGTTAATTTATTGGATCACAGACGTAAGAGCTTCTACTGAAAGATGGGGCTTCATCAGCTCTTTATTACAGCTCTGCAGGAGTTGAACCAGTTTCTTCATTGGTTTAGCAGCTTTAACGCAAATAATTGTAAAAATGTATGAATTCAGGACATTTGTTCTCCGTCGTGCCTACTCTTAGCATGTTCTTATGCTAAATTAAAATTGGCCCCTTATTCTTTCATTTTGACTTTTGACTTTCCCATCTGGCGGTTAAGAAAAGTCCACAGAAAAGCTGCACCTTCTTATAACCTGCATGGTTCAAAGTGTGGGAAAAAAGTAGCAGCTTATAGTCTGGGAAATACGGTAAATGTAGCAAAACCTCAACAAAGTTGTCCGTTCGACTTGAAAAGTTAGACGTGTTTTGAAAAAAATAAATGGGTAAAAGTATGAAAAACCTTTGTAACAAAATTTTACCAGGTGGCTAAAAATTAATGCATGTCACAAAATTCAAAAGTTTTTAAATGTTGAAAACTAAAATCTACTTTATTTCATTGTATTTTACAATTATGCACCTTTTTATGTTGGTCTTTGACAAGATATCAACCAAACACTTAGATTTTAGTGGCTGCAATGTAAACAGAAGTCCAAGAGCAAAGGCCAATAAATAAAATAAAATAAAAGTCACAGCTACCAATTCATGTTTAAAATGTTTTTCACTTCTCCCACTGAATCATATCTGCCCTTATTTGGTGTAAATAATAACCTTTTCAATCTGTAAACTTTCTATTTTTTCTAATTGATTGTATGTAAAGTACTAAATGATAATAAACCTTTTAAGATAAATACAAAAACTGTTAATAACTTTAATTGCCTTACAAGTAGTTTTTACATTTTTATGGATATTTTCATCCATTCAGCACATCACATAGAATTACTGGCAACAACTAGGTCTGCATAGATCCCTGACATATTAATTGTTCAAGCTATTTCAAGCAGAACCCTTTCTGTTATCTTAACAGGTATTGCCAATATACCCTTTGTTGAACATTTCACCCAGCTCAGTCTTATTCTGCAACAGGTAGAGCTGCAGGGAATTGTGGGGAGAGAGAACAGTCTGAGCTGGCACACATAAGTTGGCATAACACCACACCGTTTGCACTATCCCCAGGCTACATCTGGCAGCCGCCGCCAAATTATGCATCACATCTGCAGGGTACTCAACCACTATCCGTGCAATCAGTGCCTGGCATCAGGACTGACTCACATGTGAGTGTGAGCTTGGCGGCTTTGCTTTAACATTACACATCCCCCGTTTCACATTGTACCCCATAAAACACACGCCTGGCAGCACACCCCACCAGGCAGGTATTCTTTCGTTCACACACGCAATCAGGCATGAATATCATATGGATTATGTTTGTCCTTTCCCAATAAAAATGTTTTTGGAGGCTGGCAGACAGCACGCTTGACTTTCAAGAAATTCCACAAGCGACTGCTTTCTGGAACTAAATGGGTGCAGCAAATCCTTTTAAAATCCTTTTAGACACCATGGCAGTCGGGAGGAAAAGAAGAAGTTTCTCCCAGGCAAACATGTGCAGGTCTGTTGGGTTGATGTTGTGCTCTGGGGAAGGAGACTATTGCCTGTTTATTTCTGCAAGGCTCGAAAAGGAATGCTAATGCATGCGCATGCATGTGCATGCAGAAAAAGAAGAAGGTTCAAGAAAAGGTGCTTGGGTGAAGATATTTTGGATGTCAACAGCTTAATTTTTCCATTGAAGATCGCAAGAGGCCGGCTTACACAACCCTGCATGGTATAATAGGACAGAGGAGAGAATTTAAAATGTTGCTATCAGTTGTCAGCATGCCCATGACCTGGAAGGGGCTGATATCCACACAAACACAAGGAACTATTAAATCAGCTGAATTAAACTCTCAAGGGAGATGTTCTTTCATCTGAAATAAAAACAAAAAGGTTGGACAAGCCATCAAAAAGAGCCAGCCAATCCAAAATTGTATCTTTAGTCTCCAATTTACCAAACTTTTTCCAAAACCAGTTTCCTCGCTCTGATTGCTACTCAAATATTTGGGTAAATGAGCAGGGGATTGGTCTCAGTGGTTTGTTTGTCGATTTGCTCTTTGCTTTTCCATTTCCTTTGGGCTACGGAATGAATTAATGTTTGTAGACACTGGGATGCCACACATGAGGAAACAGGAGATTTTGCAAAATTATAAAACCTTCCCAATTACAGCTCTGCAAACACATACGGCTGAGGGAAAAAAAACAAAACAAAAAGAAAACTCATTTGGGGTGGAGATTCCTTGTGTGTCAGAGGCACCGGGATAATAATTAGCTTCATTTACATGCTACTCTATTAAAACAGACTAACAAACGGATATTGTTTACTCAATATCCAAGCCTACACAATGAAAAGAGGACAAATTTGACTCCAAGTAAATCCCTGCCTGCTTACTCATATCTCTATCTGTACTGTGGCGATTTTCTCTTCCATCCCACTATCTTCAGCTTCATTCTCATTTCTGGCTTAATTACTCTTTGGAAGGTTTTTGGATTTTTGCTGCCTGCCTGCTGTTTTGGTCATTACAGGTCGCTGCAGGACATAGAGTGGCTGCCAAAGAAGCTTAGTAGAACCCAGGTGTTTGGGACATAACTTCACTCACCTGGGGTAAATGAGGACAACTCTTCCTGCTGGCTTTGAGGCCCATCCTCCCTTCAGGCGCTGTCCTGATGTTGAAGAGGGCCTGAAGAGCACTCCGGGCTGCCTGGGTCTTGGCAAGCTTCTTGCTACGACCACAGCCCTCAAATATCCGCCCGTCCACCCGTACAGCCATCACAAAGCTCCGGAGGCGCCTGCCCTCTGCCCGTTCTGAAAGACAGGCGTAACGCAAGCCTGGCCGGAGCTCATTGAGCAACGCCACAGGACTCTTTGGCGTCTCAGGCTCTGGAACAATCCCACCAAGCCTCTGCTGAGCCTGTACCATGAGGTCCAACGTATGACGAAGCAGCCTTCCGTGTCTTAGCAACTCGCTTGATAGCAAGTCACTCTCGCTTGCAGGGTTACAAATCGTCAGGCCATTGGATGATTCAAACTCCTTAAAGAGCGTGTCTGGGAAGTCAGCCTGGTCAGATGTAAAGTCTGCTGAAGGGTTTGAGATGCTTCCCATGGCTAGGTGCGCCTGGGGAGCATTGGGGAACTGGATGAAAGACTTAAGAGCCATTTCTGCAGCCCTCATCTTTGCTTTCTTCTTTGTGGGTCCTGTTCCCTCAAAGGTCAGTCCATTAACCTCAACAGCAATAGAGAAGACAGGAGCATGGACAGGGCCAGTCTGGGATACCATGCGGTACTGCAGGCCTGGTCGAAGCTCGTTTAACTGCACCAGGGCATTCTTTGGCGCCTCAGACCAGGACAGTTTCTTATAGATCAGGCGCAGCTGACACATGTGTCCATTGTTGTCTTCCTCCAGAGGCCGTTTCCTCTTCAGGCCAGAGCTTGCCCCTCTCGAAGAGTCAGAGCAGAAAAGAGACTGGCATTCTCCAGAGCTGATGGGAAGATCCTCTAAGTTACCGATGTTACGGTTTTCCTTTACTTCTGCGCTGCTTGTGCCTGCAGTGAAACCACACAAAAGGAGAAACAACTTTTTAGGAAGAGATGGAAAAAATACCTCAAAAACAATATGAATAGAAAGCAATCATTACTGTGCAACACTCATTTATCCTGGCTGAACAAAATGAATCAAGGAAAATCTCTTGAGGCAGATTGAGCCACTTGATACACAATGAAATGGTAATGAACACATCTACAATCAACTCCCAGAGCTGGGCCCACTTCATACCACAGGGCTCTATTATATGTAAGTATTTTAAAACCAAAATACAAATCCCCTGAAATGGTGATGTTATCTGCCAGATCATCCTGTAATCTGCTTCCAAATTGGTTTGGAATCTGAGTCTGGGAGAAGGAAACACAGGTCCCCGCGGCCCCTGCAGAGCATCAATCCTATTTGCTATGGGGGGAGGGCCGCAGCAATGCTCAGACTTTCCAAGAAAAAGGATGAGGAAAAAGGTTTGGAGCCTTCTTTATTTCACACTTTTATCCCATGTTAGAGCAAAGCCTGAAACAGCTGTGATACGCTCTTCAATCGTCGTGACGAGTAAGGGGTGGGGTATTGCATTTCCAATGGATGGGAACAAAAACAGTGTGCTCAGAGGAATTATAACAGTTTGATGGGAGTCACTTACTGGTGAGTATTTTGTAGCTCAAGATGAGAGTGTGCAGGCAGGCAGCCATCCCAACTGATGACTTATTCATCATGAACACTTACATTTAACATTTATTAGCTCACTTTTTAAAGACCCATTTGTAATCAAAGAACTAATTTCCCCAAAATAGTTAATTATGCAGGTGACAGAGATTTCAGTTCCCCATTCAGTCTGAAGCTAAGGTTGTTCCTGACAGATGGGAAGAGAGAGAGAAAGCATGCAGAAGCTTACTCAAACTGTCCTCGTCCTCCGTGCTGCTAGTCCCAGGGCTTATGTACTTGAAGGGAGCGATCAATGCCGACAGCATACTGACTTTCTCTGTAGGAGAGACAAGAGACATGCAGAGTCAACAAGAGGGCAGAGGTAGAGCTGTTTTGATGTTTTTATCGATTAAAGCCCAGGCTCATTGTCGACCAAACAAGGAGGGTGAAATGACGCATATGTGAGAGGGAGCATGCTGAGTGTCTGTTCCTCCATAATCCTGGAGTGGACGATAATAATGCACAATGTTAGCTCCATTTAACTAACCCTAAAGCTGTGTTTATATTTTGCCTTACTGAGAACAAGACATAGATGCCTAGTCTTGATATGTACTCATTATCATAATACACTGAATCTGTCACAAAAACCTACAATGTTAAGACTACGCTGACATATTCTGAAGATGAGATCATAAATCCAAGCCTTTCAAAGTACCTGCATCAGCCAGATTTCATTTGGTGAAAAGATATGATGATAAATGCTGAGACACTAGCAGCTTTCTCAACATTTTAGACTGATATTTCAATAGAAATAAGGAAGTAGTTCCAGGGAAAGAGTTACAAACAAGTAACTCTTATGAGTATGGAGGACTTTTTATCATCTTTACTTAAAAAAAAAAGCTTTTTGTTCAAAAAAAAAAAAAAAAATCAATCAGTCCAGGAAAAGACAAAATAACCTTAAACAAAGCTTCTAAAACAGTTTGAGATTGATCAAACCTTTGATCTATTTATGTAAAAAGGATATTGTTCCATTTAAAAGACTAAGACTATGAACATCTAAAAATTAATTAGTCATAAAAACCTGAATATATTGACAGATAACGACTTGACAGGAGTGTTTTTGAGTTTAAATATTAAATATAAGACGCATTTTTTGCATTGTAAAACCTTTGTTCTGTTTGTGATGAAAGAAACAGGGATTCTTCATCCCCCCATATCCCCTCCAGCTAATGTTATCAAATGGTTTAAAGTCTGAAAAATAGCCTGTTCAGAGAGTTTTTACTAAATATTCCGCTGAAAGCCTCGGATCAAACGAATGTAATTGCAATGTTTTCAGCTAGAATATTTAAACAGTCTTTTATGAGTTTGCCAAATGAATGGTTCATGGACTATTTTATTTTTATTACTTCATTAGATCTGCATTGCTGTGTGAATGATTACAAAGGATGGGTCACTTTTTGAATATCTTTAGGAAAATAGCAGGAGGACTGGAAATGTGTGCCATCTTTTGCTGGTGGAAACAAGAGTTGCTGTAAAAATATTCTTCTTTGTCATGTTGTTGAAGTGGCATTGCTCTTATTTGATCACAATTTTTGGGTACTCTTCCTACCTTCAACAGATTGGGAGTGAATGAGACTGAAGGATATAGCGACAAAGGAAAGAGAAAATTGTTGCCAAAAGCTCATTCAGGAGGAGCGTCTTGTAAGTCATTGACTCCATGCATTCAACTGCATTTATCTTAACAGAAACTTCTAACCATTCTGACTGTATTATCTCTTTAAAGTGCCTAGAGATGACAGAAACTGGCGCTATATTAATAAAACGAATTGAATAGAAATTAAGTATCGGTTCAAGGAATGTAGCTTATTGTTTCATGATAGAGCAATGTTACATCAGTTAGAGCCTAGCCTTATAAGCCTGAGCTTGATAAGGATGATATGAGATACCATGAGTCTCATTTTATATAACAGAATATTATTTGTGGTACTAAGATTCTCAAGTCCATTAAAGCAAAACAGAGAGGAATATTTTAAAAGGAAGGGCAGAAAAAAAGTGCTACAAAAACATGAAAGCTGTCAGTGTACTATAATATATAATTGAAAATGACTTGTTTTCCTTTTTTTCATATAGTTTTCGATTATTATTGACAACCCTACATTGTATTTTCTTTGGTGTGTTAAAAAAAACTGAATGTCTGAAAGTCTGGGCTACATTTGGCACTGCTGGCTAACTGCAGGCATAGCAAGGCATGGTGGGGGGAGTGGAGCAAGGGGCCACAGATGTCCAGGCTACCGTTACCGGGTCATTCTGTCCTCCGCCGGCTCCCTGTCCTGTCCCCGTCCGCCAGGGTTACCGGATCGGCCCCGGAGCTGACAGCTCTGGTTTTCGAATAAATACTGCACTGTAATCGACCAAAATCCCGGATGATTTCGAACAATTTTTTAGGTCTGAAAAGTAGGACATGTCTGGGAAAAAGAGGACGTCTGGTCACCCTAGCCCGAACTGGGCCAGGTCTGGTTAAATGCCACTGGTCGTCCCATGGCATATTGGAGGCCTACTCATGTACATGCCTTACATTGAGTTTGAGCTTATGCATTACTTCTTGTAAATGTCAAATGACACATTTCTTTCTGTTTTAAACCTTAATTAGCACAACACACACTAATCAAGCTAAGCATTTAGGAGTTGATAGAAATCTTTAATGAATTTTGATACATTTCAAAATTGTATTATTCTGTTAAAAATAGTCAATTGATCCAAAAAGGAAATCAATTGTTATTGTAACTCATCCATCCATTTTCTTACACGCTTGTCCCGAGTGGGGTCGTGAGGGGTCCCTCGCGAGAGGCGGGGTCCACCCTGGACAGGTCGCCAAACAACCATTCATGCACACACTAAAACCTAAGGACAATTTAGAGAAGCCAATCAACCTAACAGTCATGTTTTTGTACTGTGGGAGGAAGCCGGAGTACCGGGAGAGAACCCACGCATGCTCAGGGAGAACATGCAAACTCCATGCAGAAATCAAACCCAGAACCTTCTTGCTGCAAGGCAGCAGTGCTACCCACTGCGCCACTGAGCAGCCCGTCATTGTAACTCATATGTTTGTTATTTTTAATGAGATGTAGTAGAAATTAACAGCAGAATGCAAAAAGAATCTTCTGTCGAGATCAGACTTCCCACAATAGATGTTTAGGAGAATAATGCAAGTTGCAGGCATTTTGAAGAAGTTTTCCCCCTCTGATAACAAGTTAAATGAGACCAGTGCGGCGCACGTCCATGGAAGAAGAGGAAAAGCATCTGCCACTGTCACTACACAGGTCTTTTGTTTAGAGGTGCAATGAGGTAATAAAGTTAGGGTTAGAACGGCCAGAGAATATACAACCTGAATCACCTTTTCAAAAGGTCACTAACGGAAACTACAGAGGTAACCGTTAACAGAGAAAAACAAATTTTGCAAATTGGGTAATTGTAAGGTGTCATACTGAAAAGAAGAAAAAAATGCCTTTTAACTTTTGCAATGTTCCGTTTAGGTTATATGAGTACTATTAATGGCAGCAGTTGTATAATAATATTCATATTTTACAGTATTATTATGATCTACAGTGGGAAAAACAAAGTGGGAAAACTTTAATCATTTCATGCATCCCTTAAAAGTAACTATTCATGTCACCCACTGACCTTTTTAGAGAAAATATTTAGGTTTTTTTTTTCACAATTGGAAAAAATTATGAAAACATAGCTTAAACCTCCGACTCCGATTCTACTTGTTTTCCGACCAGTTTTGCCCGCTAGCTCAGAATGCTTTTATGAATCAATTCAACATTTTGCGGAAGTAACACAGACTTAAGCTCATGTTATCAGACTGTGGCTGAAAAATATTAGCTCATTTTTTCTCTCTTTATTAGAGCCAACTTGTCAACAGCCTCTCTCGTCTTGGTTCTCCCCAAGGCCCTCCGCTGTCCAGGTGTGCGTGTTGTTTACAGTGTGAAGCCCTATTAGGACCATCGTTTGGTCTGGTGCTCTCCACGCAGCACTGAGTAAAATTGACAGACCAGTCTGGCTCCTTAATTAAACCTCCTCTCTCTTCCCAACACCAGCTGATGATCAATAAAAGAGAAAGGCGAGGGCCGATAAGGAGCGGGGAAACCAAGATGGACTTGTATTACAGGAAGGTGATAAAGTAGAAGGAAGTTGAAAAAGAGCCAGAATGAGTTTACAGAGTTAGAGCCAGGTGTCAAGATACTTTGGAGCTTTTTCGTACACCCAACTTTCCCGGTGAAATACCTATAAGGGCAGAGTTCAAAAGAGCTAAATGCTGTGTTTAATAGGGGCTCCATATTACAGTGCTGTAAAAGTAGCTTTGATAAGAGCATAATATTGTGAGCAAGACCTACTCAATGAGTAAAGCGCCAGGACCAGAGGGACTCAATAAGTTACTGTGACACACATGGTTACACTCCAAACACTGGAGCCGGAGCCCTGTGAGTCCTTATGGGACAACATCACAATACAAGCACTTGCATTCTGACCTAATTATGGACTAAAGCTCAACACAAGCAGCAATTTGGCCCTGAATGACTCCCTTGGCATTACAGAGGCCATGTTTAAATCAGAATGTGTTGTTTCCTAAGTCCTTAAAGGCTCATTTTAAGAAATAAAAATGTGCTAAATAAAAAAAAAAAAAAGTCTGATGCACTACTCTGATATAATCAAGGATTTATGGAAGCCTATGTTAACATTTGGACACAAAATCTATCCCTGTACAATGTGACTGGAAAGAGAGCAGTTGACATGAACCATGAAATTAGAGCACGCCCTGAGGCAATTAACACAGAGGAGGCCAAGCTTTCCCGGTGGAGCCTAAAATGCAGAAATCAACAGTATATTTGATAATCTCTTGCTGCTGAGCGGTCCAAATGTACCATTTAACAGCTTCTGACAAGCCAATGCACTTTGCTGGTAATCAGACTCAACAGATGCACACCATATGAGCTGTATCATATAGTTAGGCGTTTACAAGAACAGGCCACTATAGCATTTACGGTAATCATAAATAAGCAATATCAGCGTTCTAATCTTTTTTACAGCTCAAACATGAAACAAACAGCAGATGAGGGGGGAAAATAAATGCTGTGAAATGTGATCATCTCAGAGCATTTCAATAAAGTCGATAATACGGCTTGTTTTGATGTGAAATATCTGAGGTCTAAAGACTATTTGAGATTAAAGAATTGCTCCAAAAATAAATTATGACAGTAGCTGTGTTTTTATTCAACTAAAATTAGAATTTTAATAGTTGGACAAACTGGAAATGTGAATTTGTGGTGTTTCCATTTT